AGAAAAAAGAAAAAAACTAACCATTGCAACTTTTAGTATGCTTGTCAGCCAGAAATGGCACGGTTTTAGCCACTAAAAAAAAAGAAAAAGACAGCACTCTGATGGCAGAGTAATATAAGCTGGCTTCTGCTGTAATCGTGGAAGGTACTTGATGACTCCTCATTCTTCTAGTTCCCAGAAGTGATGGGGTGGAGGAAGAAGCCTTATGGGGAGGCTTTATCTCATGGAGACACTTATTCTAGACCTGCTTGAAAAATGTACCTTTTTGGTGCAAGGAGTCACACAGCCACCAAAAGTATCAATCTAGGAAAAGTAATGAAAATGGCCCTGGCAAGAGAGTCCCTGTACAAGCAACAAACAGCACACGATGATTCCAGCATGGTAAGAATGAAGCGCTGTTCAAGTCAGGGCTCTTCAGGGTTCTTCCAGCACTGATACTTTCTCAAAAACTTTAAAATGTTCTCCTTTCATGCTATTTCATGGTTCAAACCGAGTACTCTTATGTTTTAACACAAGTAATACACTTTCAGTAGGCTGTAACTAAGACTTCATGTGGAATATAACTGGACTCCTCAGCATATGAATGCAATGTGATTCCGACTGAAATAATTGACAATTACTCTTCCTCACAGGAGAAGGCAAACAGAGTGTGAAAAACAAACATCATGATCGTAAAAAGCATGAAATATACACCTGCATGAAGCAACAGTACTGAAATTACACTTTATCCCCTTCTGCTGAATAATATTCCTCTTTGTATTGATATCTGCCATTATAAAATGGCTGAATTAAACAGCACTTCTTCAGCTGAAGCTAAACCAAACAACGCTGGGTTTATAACTTTGTAAACAATGTGTTTTGTGCTCTCTGCCCTGCATATATTAGTTTAGTGTGGTATCACAGCAGTTACACTGCCGTGGCCAAAATACTGTTAAAATAAATAGGACATCTTATGGTCTTTCATATTCAAGTAGACAAAGTATTTTGGTATCTCTTGTCAGGAAAAAAAAATTTACTGCTACACAAATTTTGCAAGGATTATTTTTTTTACCAACTGAGCAGTTGCTTGATTTTTAGCTTGCTTAACTCCAGCTTCTGCTACATGGGTGGGAAGAAGGGAAAACAGAGGGCTTGGTAGGTGGCTTGTTTGGGTAATAAAACCCAACAAGTAATGTTGAGCCTTTAGGAAAAAAAAAAATTTACTGCTACACAAATTTTGAAAGGATTATTTTTTTTACAGTTGCTTGATTTTTAGCTTGCTTAACTCCAGCTTCTGCTACATGGGTGGGAAGAAGGGAAAACAGAGGGCTTGGTAGGTGGCTTGTTTGGGTAATAAAACCCAACAAGTAATGTTGAGCCTTTAGGAGGTGGAACAGCAAAACGGTGTGCTCCCAAGCCTTTAAAATGGAATGCTAACAGAAGAGACAGATGCACTAAACACTCGGCTTTATGAGCTTCACGGTGTACTGCAGGGTGTCAACAAATCTGTACCATGTCCACTGTTTGCCAAAAAAAGAGGCATAGGAAGCAATGCTGGGCAAAGAGCCAAAATACAGAATTGCAACCATGCAAGTTCTGTTTTTCCTCACAGCAGCAAAAACAGTATCCAGCTTGTGATTTGTTATTGAACTGTTAACTGCTGACCTTAAAATGCACTCCTGCTCACACAGGACTCATGATTTAGGCAGCTGTTGACTCAGGCTTCTCACTTTTTCTCTGCACTTTATTGCAGAGGGTATCTCACGCCAAACACAGCTGAGTGAGCCCATGTACACCTCAGGCTAAGGGCTGAGCTTGATGCTGTAGGACCGTGATGCTTTAGCAGTACTGAAATTGTATCGACATATGCAAATATTTTTCCACCTACTGTGTATTCACAGTCAGAACATTTTATCGGGATTGCCTCTTTGAAACTAATGTACATCAAGTTCCCTATTTTCTTACTTAGAATTAGATAGTCATAAAAATTATCACCACTAATCCTTCCCTGACAAGGGACAGACATATTGTGACACAAAATACTCCTTTTTTTCAGATCTAGATGAAAACTCGAACTTTGCTCTCTTGAACAGAAGTCCAGAGAAATAAAAGTATTTCTCTTTCTAATCATTAACATCTCTGCAGACTAGCTCTTAGGTCTGAGGCAGACGGACTGTATTTAAACAACAAGTAATGACTTAATTCCTAATTTCTTTCCTATCATATGTGCCAGAAAACCTCTTACTACTAATGGCTACGAAAGTTCTGCACAGGAATAAGAAGATACAGGGAAATACTAAAAGTCTGTGAAATTACAAGCAACAAACAATGTAAAATTAATCATTCTTCTCCCTCTTCCTTCCAATAAAAGGACACAGGGGCATCAAATGAAAATAGATAGCAGCAGTTCAAAACCAACAGAAGAGAATAATTAAGCCATGCAACGCCGTGCTGCAGGGCAGTGCAAATTGCAAAAAGTTACAAGGACCCAAGATGCAGCTGAAGAATTTCATGGAAGAAAAAGCCATTTAGCATTGCCAAATATACAGCAGGCACATTTAGCTCAGAAAACCCTTGAGCTGCAAGCTGGTGGACCCTGACAGACTAATTGTGAAGCATCACTATTCCTGTACGTCTTCCCCACACCATCTGCTGCCGTACACTGGTGGAAGCCTGACAGTAGGCTGGGCCTAAATCTAACTTGGTATGGCAGCTCTTCTGTCTTTCAGCAGAATAATTTTATGTCAAGTTTGCTGCAAACTCCAAAAACACTGTTGCTAAATCTGCATCTTCAGAATTTGTCTTCTGCAGGCTACAGCTGTCCTACCTCAAGTAAGTCAATCATCCGTGTCATCTGGGAGTAGATGAGAACTCGGTGTCCTTGAGACTTCAGCCGTGTCAACAGAAGATCAAGAGCATGAAGTTTTCCACTGTCAGTGATAAGACTCTCTTTGTCTAAAAAGAAATTGAAGAAAAGCAGGTAAATAATAAAGGGAAAACAGCTACATGCAACAAGTTAACTTCTAAGTTTTTCTAGCACTTCACTGCATTATAAACCTTAAAATAATGAGCTGTAGCCAAAGAAACGGCAAGGTACCTTCCGGCTGACACTTGCAATCACACTGGTAACAATAACTTTTGTTTGCTAGTTGGCAAAATCTCACCCAGGATTGATCAGATACGGACTTCTCTGGACAGCCATTTCCCTCATCTAAGGATTCATCCTGATCAGACCAAAAATCACAATGTGCCTTCACAACTGAAATGTTTCTTTACTTCACACATTAAAATGCTGTCCTTTGGACACTTGCTGTAGATTTATCCTCTGGAGACGCAGTTTCAAGATCAAACCCCTCACCAACACGGAAAGTGAAGAACAGTCCTCTAGGTCACTAAAATAACAGCCCCTTCACAGCACCGCCTTTTGTTTTTCATTCCTGACCTCCACTTTTTTTTTTGTTTTGTTTAAAGAATGTTTCCAGATGACAATCTTTTAAGTCACTTCAGATTTCATACTTCATGTCCTCTCTACTTCGGCACCGCTCACGAAGTATTTTTCAGGAAGGAAGCCTTCCTGTTTGTACGTTTTGTACATAAACTTCAGTAAACAATACATTACTGTTGAAAGCAGATGAAGAGAAATTTTTTTCCAAAAAATTTATCTGTTGGAAAGGCCACTGATGATTCTTTATTCTTTGGGATGTCTGAATTTAGGTTGACAGCCAAAACGGAAAGTTGACAACTGCAGATGGTGCAGGCTAGTGCAGAATCCAAATATTTCCAACATGTCTAGCAGGTACCACTCTCTAACGTCTACCAGGTAACTAATGCTTCTGCATGCTTCTCGGTGCAGAGAATGAATTATTTGACGGGCTGAAGGACACCCAACATTCTCTAAGGCAGTTAAGTGTCTTCCACGATATTCCCATTTTTTTTAAAAAGGGATACACAAAATTAATTAATTCACCTGAGCACCGTGCATTTTAATACAGCTAAAATCAAGTTCATATGAGCAGAACAGAGGAGTACAGATCGCACAACAACGCTCCTCCAAAGATCTTAGGAGCATGGCAGGCAACACAGCCCATGAACGCCCAAGGGCAGCGATGTGGCGCAGAGGGCTATGTTTGATTCTTCCACATACAGCCAGGGGCCTGATGAGAACATCAGGAATGCGGGTGCTCTTCTATACTTAATTCAAGAGATAATTTTGAAATAGCATGCCTAGGTTTAGTACACCTTCCAAAAACGTTGTAAAGACCACAAAGTGTCCAGGAAAAATCTCCCAGATTTCAGTGTCTTAAAAAAACTTGACCCGCAGTGAGGGAGCTCAGAAATTTATTCCATTTCAATTTTTCACGGTGCTTCTTTTGGACAAAGATTTTTAACAACAGACGAGAACTCTTTATTAGCAGAGAAGGTCACTATATCCAGTGAATTGTTAAAACCGTAAAAACAAGGCACACTTCCCTCTTATCCTTACAACAGTGAGAAAAAAAAACAGTCAGCAACACTTTTATCCAGACATTGGTAGATTCTTTGTGGTCTCAGTATGCCAATGAGATCTCTTTCAGAAATATCCTGTATATTAAATATAATAATGGACTTCATGCTAGAATTAGTGGGATCTCCATTAAGACATCAGAATATGGAGCCAACAGTCCTGCTTTTTGATTCCAAAAATTGAGAGTTGTCAACACCACTTAAAATTACCGGCTATTATATCTGCAGTATAATCCAGTGCTGTGAACTCTGTTCTCTCTTTCGGTAAGTTTAGAGCTGTGCTCTTGCAACTCGCCAGCAAAGAATCTAAGACAAGAGAACTCTGCTTTTTGTCGCTTGTTTGCCCATCTAGATATTCACGCTTCTCCCCAATTTGCTCTCCCATTTGAGGGTGATCTCGCTGCTTTGCCAGGAGCAAGTAAAAATGGAAATGACTTAATGTTATTTGCTTTTAAAATACACCTATGAAGGTGAAAACTCTGCACAGTAGGGATGTTTACTCTGTATTCAAAACGTTATTCTTTCCCTTAAATCCATACAGACATCTTGCTATTTCAGAATAAATTAAATTGGGTGAAGCAACATGAAAAGTCTAGATGTACACGGCAAACTAATATGATTATTAACCAAAAACCATCTGACTGGAAGGAAACCGAGAGAACAAATGGGGTCTGTTCAAAAATCAACCTCAACTGACTCAGGCTAACACACTAGCAAGTTTCCAAAAGCAAAATGCTACTGTTCTTCTCACACAGGCATTAATTGGTAGAATTAAGTTTTAGTAACTGGAAATGATGCGTGTCCTTTGCTGCTGGCTCCTTAGGTCTCCATTGTGTAAGTTACTATTTTTAAATAGCAGTAAAATGCAAACTGCAAGGAAAAAACTTATTTGCAGAAAGCCTTAACAATCTGAAAAGTTAGCAGCTTGTTACTAATTTGAAATTTGTCCAATATCTCAGTAACAGCAGACTGCACTGATGAGAAAGAGGTATTTTTTATAGGAAAGCAAAACAGAATTAAAAAAAAACAAACCAAGAGATTTGCTACTCTGGAAGAGAAAACCATTTGACTTTAACCTGGGATCTTCAAGCGTGCTGTCTCAGTACCATTACGTTTTCCAAGATCAAGTATTTTTGCAAGCTTAAAGCCTGCCACCTAGTGCTTCAAAGGACTCTTATGTCATCTTCAGAAAACATCACAATTATACAAAAGAGTGGGAGGGAATAAAAGCGTCTTTCACCTCTAGTTCCTCTCACGTGTATTTCTCATTCCCTTTTGCCTTGGAAGAAGAAAAAAGCAGTTTACTCCTTTTTTAAATGGGATTTCCAAAATTCTCAATTCTACATTTTCCATTTTTAATGAATGGTGAAAACTTCCAATTACAACGTCTTCTGATCAGGTTTTTTTGTTTGTTGGTTGGGTTTTTTTTAATAGCAATAAAAGAACTTTTAAGATTTTAAGGCAGTGAGGAGACAGAGGTCCTGGACTGTACATCAGAGAACTCTCTCTACGACACAGTTTTTGGGCTCTACAGCCCTCTATGAAATAACCAAGAAAAGAGAACCAGACCAAAGAGAAAGTAACTGTCAAATTATATTGTATGGGTTTCAGCTGGGGGAGGAAAAAAAAAAAAAAGTCTCTGCCTCCAACTATGCAAGAATATGCACATAAATTATCTACAAGGGGATACAGTGGGATCTTACTGCCTGGGAAGAATAGCTGCAAATGGTTATGACTCAAAATAACCCTTGTCAGGAGCTGTGGCTGGTGACTGCAGCTGGACTCACCGCTCTCTGGAGAATGAGAAAAAGTGCCTCTGGACATGCAAAAAGCAGAGGAAAGAGAGATAAAGTCTGGGTTCCAGTTGACACCCCTGGTTCCCCTCCCGACAGTCTGCACGGCACAATGGGGTCAGTGAGGAGCTAGCTGGCTCTCACAGTAAACAGCCAGTGAGGCCGGTGCTTTTTATCGATGCTAAAAGGACTCAGACACTTCCTGCCATTTAATCCAGGACCATTTTTCTTTCAAAGAACAGGAAAAGCCTCAAGAGATTCCCACAGTGATCGCAGCTGAGCCTGCTGCCAGGGTACTGGGAACACAGAGTCTGGGAGAGGATAGATCAGGGTTAGTAGGAGAGAGAGGTATCCCCTTTTCTTCTTGTCACCTCTCTACCCTCACACCTCCCGTTCCATCTGACACTGGTCAGGCTTCAGCCTTGCAAACGGCTCCTTCAGCACATCAGTCACTTTCTGTAACGTGCTGCGCCTGCTCCTGCATATACAAACACTGCTGTCCTGTTCTGCGAGGTACCCTCTCCTCTCAGAATAAACTTTAGGTTTGAATTTTACTTTCCACCTAAAGAAAACAGAGAGGTACGAAACTACTTTTTTTTAATCCATGTTTAGCTCCAACATCTCTGAAATTAAGCCAGCGTTACATCATACTTGGCCCAGCTGCCTTCTCTTTGCCGTGCCTTGACAACGATTTGCCTAACCTTGCACCTATTCACTCGCTCCTGGAGGCTCCCTGTACCCCATCTTTATTCCTCTGCAAATTTTTGCTGATGACAAACTCATCAGCTTAAAACATAAGCCTTTTCAAGAGAATGAAGCCCTCTCTCTATTCTGCATCAGCTACTTTTCTTCATTTCTCTATCCATGTCTTCTCCCTTGGTTAATCCCTTCACTATTTCCCTTCTTCCTCCTGTTTACAAATAATTGTTTATCAATTCAATGAATTCTTGAAGAAATTATAAAATCATCAGCTGTCACTGAACACTAGTCTAGTGCAAGCTCATGAAAAACGATTTCTCCAGGACATAGAAACAATTGTGCATGTGCTTCAAATGACTCCAAGGACTTAGGAGGTACCTTATTAAACCGGACTGTACCAAGCAAAAGGCCATTTTCCTTTTACTGTACTAACTTCCCCTGTCAAACATCCTTGACCCAAAAGGGTCTGGGAATAACTTAGCATCTGGCAGTGTAAGCTGTTTTTCCTCTTGGCTATCTCTCAGATCTCTGGTACTTTCTGCAGAACTCAGCTCACTGCTCAGGACCATCTTCCGACAGCTACAGTGGGTCCAGCCCATGAAAGTCACCGCAGCACTGGAATCAGATTCCAGCAAATCTTGGATTACTTTAGTCTAATTCTAGACAAAAATGAGGTGCATTTACTTTACTAGTACGCTGGCATCCTTTTCCCACTTTACCAGGAATTATAAGTAAATTCTCTTTATTCCAACTGAAACTCAGCAAATCCCTCATGCCTCGTTTTCCAGCTTCTTCTGAAGTCGGTCCTGAAACGCACCCTTCTCACGATACACTGCAACATGCAATGTTTATCCTTTCACTAAGGAGACCAACAAAAAGATCTCTTAGGTCAATACAAAAGTCTTCCAATACAGTAGGAGGTAAGGCATGACTGTTACTTCTGCAGTCTTCTGCAACCTCAGAACAGTACTTGGTTGTGAGAGAAGGCAAATCCATCTCTTTGCAGTCATCCAGAGAACTGACACGCTAAGAAAGGTTTGTAAGTGTTAGAAAAGTTTGTGTCAGGCTTGTTCAGTATCCACTGACAGCTTTACTCCAGACAGAGAGTATGAAATTACAGTGTATTATTTTAAGATACCAGGATTAACCTTCAGTCAGGAGGGAAAGCAAACACACAGCCACCCCCCCAGAAAGCCTGTAACCAAGTGTAACTACTGCCCACGAGCAGATGTCCTTATGGATCTCATCTCTGTTCCACGACAACCTCCAAACTTACCCGGTATCCTGATGAAAGACCAGCCGTTCTGAGGCCTGATCCCTAATAGCCCTCCTGGATGCTCTGGGAAGAACTGGGAGGATTGCTTCAGCCAGTCAGCCGCTAACTCCGGGGCTCCGTTGAGCACACACTGCTTTGCTTCCAGGCTTCCTCCTTCTTTTAGTGCCCTGCGTTCGTATTCTGCGCTTCGGTCATTGCAGTAGAACTCCAGTGGCACAGCTGTTACCTACAAGTAAAATAATAACCATCAATAGGCTTGTTCAGATTTCTTCCCTTGCCCCCAAATCCCCAGTTCAGGTACCTTGCCATAGGATCAATTTTTTAAAGTCAAATCATTACTGACCCGTTCAAATGGAAAACAATCTTAGAGACTGGCTTAAAATAAACAAAGAAGCAACATCTCTCCATATCACAAAAAAAAAAAAAAAAGTCCTACGAACAACCAAGCATGGCCAACCACCACACAATTGACAGCAAAGCTAAGAGTACAAGAAAAATATTGTTGCTGCACCTCTTATTTTCCCTAGATTTGTTTTTTTTTTTTATTTTTGCCCTTCACAATCAAGTATTTACCTAGTAGAGATTGCATGTTATCCTTAACAGAAAATCATATGATAATCTAAAATTAGGAACACATAAATTAGAAAGGGAAAAAAAAAAAACCACCTCAAACCAGGAAAACAGCCCATTTCTTGGGCTTGACAGTTGATCTGAACAGAAGTGGGCCACAAAAACAAAGCCAGCGAGTACAGGGTGATCATTTTTCTTCTGGCCATTCTATGAATCCCTTGCCCTATTTACCTGCTTTAGTACAACCAGTGCACCTGGACTGGCCGGTGTCAGAAACACAGGAACTCTGATTTCAGGCCATGGGAGCTACTCTGGAATGGCTCCATCCACCCAAACGTGGACAGAGCGTGGAAGGTCCCCATACGCCCAACAGCTGTACGCTCAGGAGAAGGTGGTCTTGGAGTAGAGTCCCCAGCCCAGCAGGCAAGGCTGTCGCCGTGCACTTTATGGCTTTCTCTTATCTCTCCCTTATCAAGGTAAGGGGCAACTTCCAGACAGTTAAGTAATAAACCCCCAAAGTGTAACCGAGCCATGGTACATACCAGGATAGCCTACTCTGCTGGGTTTTTCTTAAGATATCTCACCAAATGGCATGACACAAAGCAAATACAGCAATTACAACACTTTCACTCAAATATAAGTACACAATTCACTATCTAGCATAAGAATCTTTGCAATAAAAATGTGAACCACCAACGTCTTCCTCCTCTCTTTTCTGAATGTAAGTCTGCTTTGGATTGACATTCTGGGGTAAGCATTTACAAAAGCTATTTATAACCTAATTTCCAAAAGAAAGCTAGTAGAAGCTTTCACATACTATCAAGAGACTTAATAAGGTATCACAAGCTCAGTTAAGAAAACCCACAAAAAATATTAGACATTTAATCCTACAGCACGGGCTTAAAACAGAGAAAAGTTCTAAATTTGCTTGTTTCTTCACCAATATAAGCAGCAAATAAACCACTACTTTAACAGTTATTGGTGCTTTTATTTCCAAAGCATAATTTTTAAAAAAAATCATTCATGCAAGTTGAAAACATCGTCAGGAATCCTAACACTGTGCAGAATGAACACATTTCCAAGGGGACTGTGAAAAGCAATGCAACAGACAAAAAGAAACACAAAGTAAATGAAACTTATGGAAGTTTTCACATTTTGAAAGAGGAAATAAGAGCTGCATGGGAACAAACAGTACAGGAGTATGGAGGATTTGATGGGGAATGGTAAGTAGCTGAGTTTCTGGAGAGAAAGGGTGGGCATCAGGACAACTGAAACACAAAATGCAGTGAAAGAACTATCTTTGTATTGCAGCTGCAGCTTTTATATAGTTGAAGCATGATGAAAGGAAGAATCTATACCTCAGGATATACTGCCTGATATCTTAGTCGCCGGCTGCTCCTCTCTGAATATTCCCCAGCTAACTCAAAGGGATCAAGCAAGATCTTCTCAGTGGAAGCCTCTGATCCACTCCTGGTTTACAGGAGCTCTTCTCATCAGAAGATACTAATCTTACAAACAGAGACTTATTTTTGCAAAGGCAAATCAATTGTTTAAACGGATTCATAAGCATGCTTGCTGTATGTATCAAAATGAAATCAAAAAAGCAGGCAAAGTCTTAGCAATAATGTTAAAGCTATAGTTTTGCAAGATGCCAAAAGCTGTTTTTAAACCAGGTTGGCTTATAGGTCTATGCACACAGTCACATGAAACACTGCAAATTGAGAGGGGCTGCGATAAGACTTTGTAGACCTTCTAACTACTTACTGGATAGCATCGACTCTGACAGTATCTCGTACTGCCATCTGCAGTCGAAGCATAGGACTGGCTTTAGCAGGAGTGGGCAAAACCTCTCACAATTCAAGTCCTGTTACCTGAACACTGATGTACACCACAGTGATGGTACAGACCTAAGGTTGTTTCCTTTAAAGGACACTATTAACACATTGTGGTTCATATTTCTCGGCTGGACAGACTGGAACAAAGGCTCTTTCAGGCACAGGTAGCCTGTCATATTTATTTCCAGGATGCCTAGGACCAGCAGCCACTACACACAAACCAGAGTAGACTCATTTCTGACACCGAAATGTCTACTGAAATCAATATGGACATGGGTACGCTGGGATTTTCAGAAGAAAAACAAAGTCGGATCATAAAATTCTACAAGCTACATTTTAGTAATACCTCACCTAAAGAAAAAAGCAAGTAGAAGATAACCTTGAGACAAATTCTGTGTGTGTCTCAGTGAGGTTTCTCCATTTACAAGGACAAATCTTCCCATGTAAGAGTGTAACGCTCTGCAACGCTGACTGACACCCAAGGACATGAGGCTGCCTTTTTAAATGCAGACATACCCCCGGGGTTGAACTCTGCATCTTTGCATGGCCTTACAAGAAAAAAAGACACATTTCTGAAACAGATAAAAAAATACCAACTTCCATTCAAGCTTATTCATGCTTCTGTCCTTTTTGTCATGGTGGAGTTTTGTTGCTTTTCTTCCCCAAGTTTGTTTTTGTAGTTTTACTTGTAACAGAAGGTAGGTTAGTCCTTCGCACTAAATCCTCCTGTGTCTACACATTCTTGTCAAACTGACTGAATGTAACAGTCAGAAATATGTTCAGAAATGTTTCAGAAATATGTCAAAAATATTGTGACAGAGATACCCGAGTGCATTGCCACCTTAAATTCAGTAATTTAGTTTAGTCAGGGTGCAAAGTTAACCTTTCAGGTGTCGTGAGATGCCCAAACCCACTTCTGACCACAATACCTCTGACACACTGGGATCTACTGAGCTGCTAAATTAAACCAAACAATATCACTCTAAACTGAATTAATCAGCGTTTTAATGAATATAAGAATACCAGATCCGTCCTTGAAGTTCCTTCTTTTTTTCTGATCGAGGCCTGTGTGTACACAAGAAAATTGCCTACACAGAAAGAAAACTACAACACTAAAGCCCCCTCCTCCACCGCTACCCCCTCAGCTGCTACATAAACATACGCTCCTCTTTCTATCATTCGCTCCATTAACTTCCCAAAATTCATCACAGGTCAAACAACAACAGAAGGCTATAGTTTCTAGGAACATATGTGCTCTTTCTGCTGTTTCAGGTCTTCTACACTCCTGCCAAAAGTCTCTAACAGGCGTAAAATTAAGTCTTTGTATTCCTAGAAACAAAAAGCCATGCCTCCACTTAATCATTTTTATACACCAGCCAAGCCAGAACAAGCAACTTGTATTCACTAGAATGTATGTCAGATATGATCTCTCCTCGTCTTTCCCTTCCCCTTCCTATGTATACGCAGGATTCAACATATTCATCTGCAATGCAAATTTAAATAGAAAGGGCAACAAATCAAAGGAATCTGAAGAAGTGGTTTCCATTATTTAATCTCAGAATCAACTGCTTGTTCTTGAACCAGGTAATATGTTGTGACTGGGAAGTGGCAAGTGATTTTGAGAATTCAGTCGGATTCCTGGCCCCCAGAGCTGCAGGCACAGATGAATTCACTCGAGGTGACAAGCAGACTCCCTTGCCGCCCTCCCTTCTCCAGATGCCAATGTGCAACCACAAACGCGGCCCCACTCGATCAATCCTCCACCAATAACACCAACAGTAACTACAGAATACAGAGCTGGAAAGCCTCCTCAACAAGTCCATTTTGTCCAGCTCTGTCTGCTGGTTTGAGCTAAAACAGAATCAAATCTCTTCAGTGATTTTACTTTTCAGCTAAGTCTCAGCTAAGTGACTGCACTTTCTCAAGTTAACGGTGTATTTTTTCACAGTGTCTTCTGCTTCTAGAAGTGATAGTGCTTGATATTTACAGTCACGACCGAGGGACGGTATGCAGAAAGGCTCGTGCTCCTACAGAAACCAAGGTCACTGCTAAATCTTGTGTGTCGTGTTGGGGTGCCATAAAGTAAAAGGGTTGTAAGTAAATGGTCGCACCTGCAGGGAGGAGCAGATAGGACCGGTGATCCAAAACTGACCAACAAGGTATTCCATTCCATGTATGTCATACTCAGTACAAAGCTGAGGGATCACAAGGGGTAAGCCCCCTTCAATGGTCAGTGTCCATCTGTTCTTCTGCCCTTGATCCCAACCCTTGAGCTCCTGAACCAGCTCCTGAATCGAGTTGCCGTCTGCTGCTGAGTCTAGTCTAGGACCTCCCTAGTGCCTGCCTGTCCCGCAGCACCTGTGGCAATCCATTGGGGGAGTTTTGATACTGGTTTCGTATATATTTCAGTGTGTTCTTATTAGTACTGTTACTGGTTTATTAAACCTGTTTTGGTTTTCTTTTCCAATCCGTAAGTCTCTCTCCCTTATTCCTTTTTCCTTCTCCCTTGAGAGGGGAAGGGGGTTAACTGAGAGCATCTGTGACTGGTCTAGCATCCAGCCCGGCCTTAACTCGTGACGCTTTGTCAAGATCCAACAACATGGAATAAAAACAATAGCCATAGACTTCTGAAGGTCCCTTGCGTCAGCCCAGGAAACTTCAGCCAAAGTAATTTCAAAATTCCATGAATGGTTGATGGACAATGCCAAGCAGTACCACTTAATACTCAAAAGATTTTAAAAAAGCCAAGGCGAGTAATCCTTACATATTGCAATTTTTGTGTTTCCTTTTGGAGCATAAGCTGATGCAATGAGAGAAAATGAATAACGTTTTCAAAAAAGCAGTGCTCCTCGGCCCCCCTTTTGTTATCAGTTGATCACAATCGACCCACTCTGTTTATATCATACCACTTAAATTATTGGGGAATACTCTACTTGAAAATCTCTTTTATAATTTTACTCCTTTTGGTATTAGAAGAGAAAGTGAAATCCACATATCTCAGAATAACTCCTGTTGGGTGCTTCTTACAACTTTCCTTTTCCCTTCAGGACATGTTGCAGTCACTTCCCCTATGAAAAAACTCACTATTGAATACAGCAACAAAAAGGATATCCTCACAACAGTTGTGCCCGACCAAAAGAATCTAATAGATCATCCTGTTAGCAAGACACAATTCTAACAAGATTTAAAACACAATAGAAAATACATAATTTACAGCTTAACTTGGACTTACCCGTGGACTGGCTATGCACAGGAAGGACGGCAGCTCAGTCACCTGGCAGCACCGTACACATGAGGTAGCTGATCTCCTTCGATATATGACATGGTCTGAATAGCCAGTAACTGCTTTACAGTGGCTACTGAACACAAAGTTCTGAAAATGAAATTTAAATTAACAAGTTACTATGTTTATATAAACAAAAACTCCTCTTCAAGCTTGCAACCATCGGTAAGACAAAGGACATTCATCCAATATTTCTCTTTGAAAAAGGAAACTCTACACATCTTCTGCAGTGGCAATGCACAGAATCTTTTGTGTAAGTATCGAACACTCAAATCCTAATAACTGAAATCAGAATAGCTTGCACCAATACCTGCCTTTGTGCTCAGCTGGAACCAAAACCAACTTTTCTCTTCAATGAAGGAAGCATGGGAATATTCTAGTAGGTCAGACCCTCGAGCTGTTTTAAACAACTCCTTTATCTATTCTGAAGCATGAGCAAAATGAAATGTAGCAGAGAAAAAAAAATAAAGAGTCTAAATGAGACTGGACTGATATCTTTTGACTTTTATTTTCTTCAACCTTTTCTTCCTTTCCTGTGCAAAATGGCTCCAAATTTTATGCTGAAGATTTTCAAGGTGCTAGCACGGTTACTCACACACATGAACACACTCACGTGTAAAACCTGGAATTTGCCACAAGTGTATCAGCGTCCTTTTGATACAGAAAAATATATTGATTCAAAAGTGGGGGCACTGAAATGACGCTGCACTTTAAAGACAGGAGAGCTCTTTGAAGTTGCTGGATTCTACCCAGAAAACTAAATTTTCATCAGTTATATTTCCTTTTTTATGGCAAATAACTGCATCAAAAAATGAAATAAACTGCTTAGAGACTAAGCTGGTTTTGCCACTTGTTTTTATTCTGACTCTATGTTCACCAATTGCTACTGATGTGTATAACTGTCTCCTACAGTATGTAGAGCGTTACTCTGCATACCATAAGAAACAAGCAACAATTTTTGAAATATTGAGAGGTACACTTCTCACTGCCATAGAATCACAGAATGGGCCCTCCTGACAATTCCAGCAGTTCACTTAAGGAAAACATAAACAGAATTGGAAGCTTTGGCATTGTTCTGCCCCAGAACCTAATCCACCAAAATTGATTGTATGCTACTTTTGCCTTACAGAGCCTCCCAATTTTCTAAAATCCCCATGTTTGGAGCTCTAAACGTCAGGGTACATAACAGAAGCAGACACCTTGTGTATCACGTCATACACTGGATACACGCATTCCTACGGATGCCAAAAAAAACCGCTAGAAAACATCCACAGGAGTGTTCTATCATGGATCATGCATTCTGGGCCCTTTCTGTTTCCAGATGTAGATGCACTGGGCAAGATACAGATGGCTAGCATGTGTCATTTGGAGCCTGCTGACATGGGAGAAAAATAGTCTTACTGTCCATACGTGCTGTCACCACCTAAGAAATGTAATCAGTCAATCCTAGCATGTAAGTGTGTCTTTCAGCTGCTACCAGTGTGACTCATGGTCTGAAGCTGGAAAAAAAGGAAGTTCAGAATCTCGGACTGAACATCTGCTCCTCTATATAAAAGGTAAGAGCAGAAAGAGCTGACAATAGCCTTTCATTGACACTCAGCAGGGCTAAAAAGCACAGGTCAAAGCTTGGGCCACACTGGGTAATGTGAAGTGATCCCAAAACCAGGCTCTTACTTAGCTGGCAATTCTTTATCAGTAACACTGGCTTAAGCAACAACCGCTTCACATGTTCATTCCTGTCCCCGCAGAGCTCCTTCTCGTTGGCCTAGCTGCCTGCGCTCATTAAGATGCCGATCAAGATGAAAACAAACCCTTGCCCCTCCTCCTCCAAGTTAGTTTTGTGATCAGTCTCACCACCTGGTAAAACAGGCCGTGTGCTGAACCAGCAGAGTGGGAAATGTTAAGGCTGTGGGCCAAGAGACTTGAACGTCGGGTTACTCACCCCAGGGCCAGGAACGGCGGCAACAATGCACCAACATCGCTGCTGCAAAGGGGGAGTCCCTTCCCACCACGTATTTGTGCCACCTCCTGTGCTAGTGCCAGCTTTACCACCTCCTAGACCCCTCCATAAGCCTCCTTAGCTACACATCTAACCACATAACACATTCCACAGCCACGAAAACAGCAAGTTTTCCGCAGCTGGCTCGTCCAGGGACGTGACAGCACAAGCCCACATCAGCAGAGGCAGGGTTCAGCGGCTGGGAGTAAGGAAAGGATGGCAAGAGTCCGAGGGGAAGGGTGACTTCCCTCTCAGCAACGACAGCTTTAGCTCACAGCTCCTCTCCTCCCCACCCCTGTCCCACACACGGCAAGTACAGCTGATTTTGTGGAGGGAACAGGCGTTGCATGGAGTCACAAGAGCTTTCCAAGAAATCTTACGACAGCAAGCATTAACATACTGGTTGTGGCTACAGTCCTTAGAGGGATTTGGTAACTTTATTTCCTGGAAAGTAAGAATACAAGAAATGGATAGAAAGGAAGCTAACAAACTGTAATTCCAAACCTATGCTAGTTTGTTATTTAATTCTCTTTTGGAAGACAGTATCAAAGAGCCATCAAAGATGGCTCTATTCCAACTAGAAGTACCCAGGAAGAAACATAAAGGAAAACTTCCACGAAGCTATCCAAAATAACAGAAAAAATATTATTTTTGTACGCATGCAGTATTAGAATTAGGTCTTGCACACGGGCATTAATCTGGTTTTCAGCTTCCCGTGTGCAAATTACGAGCAGGTCACATAAGAAACATGCCTCTCTGAACTCCCCGACACACAGAGGTGTTAAGTATTCATGAGCAGAGCTGACACCAGATCTAACAGGGACAGTGGAAACCAGTTTCCCATCAGTCACATACATGGAAAAGGCTGGGTAAGGTTACAGCCACTGCTCTGAAATGGATCATATGCCTTAGTACAACGAAGTCAGGAACCAAAGAGGAGGAACATTAAGAAATAAGAACGCAAGCACCTACTCCAACCATGCAATCCAAAGTAAGCCTTGAAAGAGGCTTTCCTATATTGCCAACAGAGCTGCGCATACATACGGGAGATGCTACCGGCATCTTAAGCTCATTAGCACTCCTAATTTTTTACAGTAAGAAAATTAGGAAAGCAAGGGACAAGTCTCAACAAATCAGATTTTATATTAATTGAAATCAACATGTAAAAATTAATACACACACTGGAAGTGCTGCCTAAGGAGAATGAAGAGACCTCACACTGTAAGGGATTTCTGTGGAAGGAACATGAAGGAACACATAACTATCTTTAGACAGATGTTACCTCAATTTCAGAAAGATCCATTAAAAATAGACATGTTTTTTTTGTCTACTGACTTATTTTCATAGTTTGCCTCTTCTATAGGAAATGCTGATCCGAAGAGTTAAGAAAAGCCTTTCCAGATTTATACCATTTCCTTTTTCCTCTGTTTCTCCCTCTTCTCACCCCCAACATGTTACTGTCTTATGAAGCTGCAGAGGAAGCCTCAGGGAATTTTACATTTAAAGTTTCTGAGGTTTGGGATTAGATTAAAAGAGTGAGTTCATTTTCACTCATGATGATGCGTGCAGCTAAAAGACAGGCATGTGAAGGCCAGTTCATTTCTCAACTCTCCTTTTGGTTTTTAAGATGTTCCATATGTAAGCTGTGCAAAAAAAATTCTGCAAACAGAGCTTATTTGAAAGTGACTTGAGGCAGTAACTTGTCTAACATGCAGGTTAGAAACACACTTCTTTTAGATTGACTGGGGTTATCACAAATGGGCTGTATCACACACGCTGATGAACTTTGCTCCTCAGCTGGCTGTTGTCTATGTAGAAGGTACCAGTTACACTTCTCACACACAGTCACAGCACTGGGACCTCCCGACACACAAGTAATGACTTCCTCAAAAGAAATTATCAGGCTAAACCAAATTAGATGTTTAAGTCTTGACAGGTTGTGTTACAGATCAAGATCCTTTATATTTCCTTGTTAATATTAAAATCTCCATGTGGATATTCCTCATCTCATATTTTAATATCTAGAATGTTAAGTCATCTTATGTTAAGAAAATACAATGACTTACATTTTAATATTTATACACACTAACTCAAAGGCTGAAAACTAGATTATCTTTCTCCACACACAAAAATGAATGCTACCTTCTGTAACCGCATACAACTTCTGGTACCACCTTCTACTCTTTTAGTGTAGGCTGCAACATTTGACTTAAAAAGTTTTCCTCAACCACACCAATCAGAGGACAGAGCTACAGTGGAGTTTCAGTGACGAGCATTACACAGTCAGTACCCAAACTGCTGAACGTCTTCTCAAAAACACCAACTGAAGGCAAATCCATGTAGTGAGACATTTTATCAAGCCAGTCACGAAACCACAGAATATTTAAAACACCAGCACTGCCGGAGTTAACTGGCACACACACTCTGCTGGCTTGCTCTTTGTTTGATAACTAGGACGACCCATTTTATTGGCTTTGCTGTCAACACTGCAAAACATGACACCAAGTCCAAAGTTGGTTTCCTACTGCTTATGTGTCTTCAATTTCAACTTCCTCTACACGCTATTCAATTGAATTCTGCCTATCTCCTTTCCCCTTCCAGACTCACGAACAGAAGCAATATTCCCTAGAGAAATTTGGCACAATCTCACTGTTTCAGAAAAGATTTTTCTACTGCATATCTGCTAACTGCCCTAGATGCTTTCCTGACTCTATACTAGCACTTTTGTGAACTTATTTCCCAGTGAAATGAATCAATCCAGCTATAGCCTAACTCAGGAAACCAACAGCAATTTAATCATAAAAAGCCAAAATCTTCACATGCATTCCAGGCAAAACATTAGAGAAAATGACCTTGCACCACACAGTAAGATGAATACACTTCAAGCCTACCAGACAGAAACATCAGAACAGAAACACACCGTTGACAGTGTCTGTCCACCAACTCTGAAATACCGCTAGGCTGCAGTCTCTGTTTCCCCCAGTTGCCACAACAACATATTGAATTTGAGATGAAAAGAGGTGGCTTCAGTCAGAAAACAAGAGTCTTACATGTAGAAGAACATTACAAAACTCGTAAGTTTACATGGAGCATCCATCCCTGACAAATCGTAAGTCTAGTTCTATTGCTCCAGTAGTATTTTTAAGACTTTCAATTTGACTGATTTATTTTTTATAACAAGTTTTGAAATGTATCCCCACATGGGAGGAAGACAGCAGTTAAACTACTTTTCTGTTAGCACTCGCTTTATTAACTATATCTAATAAAGTCAACCTCTTTCTAAGTTTGTTCTTCTCTGTTTTATAAGGACAGAAGGTTGATAATCTCCCACTCACGAAGACTTGCTATCACCTCCACAACACAAAAATGTTGCTTACCTGCAGCAAAGTGCAGCTGTGCAAGTTAGGGAAATTTACATCAAGCAAGAAATCCCTGTTGCTCAGAAAACACGAGCCCTGCTGTTTCTCCCCTTCTGTCTCCATCCAGGAGCGCATGTGATGGAGCCTGTAGGATGCTTTCAGAGACAGGAAAAGAGCTAACCACCTGAAACAAAACACGGGAGAGAAATTTATTCACTGCTTTGTCAGACAGTGGCTTGAGTATATTTGCAACATAATTCTATTGAACACAAATGGGTTTTTTTCAGGTTTTCAAACTTAGTGTCCTGACTTCAAGGAAATAATTTTTGCTAGACATCTTCCAATTACATGACTCTTATTCTATTTTTCTAAGGTGGCTGAACTGAATCAAAGTGATTAAATCAGAATATACTTTGAAGGACCTGGATTAAAACAGTTGAGCCCGAGTTAGCCACTACTACTTAAAAGTGCAATCTGACTTCTCTGTAAATTGCTCCACATATGAATTATTCATAACAACCTGCATAATGAATGCAGAATTTATCATAATGATCATGCAGACAAGCCAAGGGAAATGTGTATTTTGTTAATGAAACACAGGCAAGAAGTAGTAGCCCAAAATAACTGCAACAATAAATTACTACACTTACAAAGCCCTAAGCAAAACAACTTTATTTATTCATAAAGACTTGTTTTTAATCTCAAATCTCTTACAGTCACTAAGTACAGTCACAGTACTGTCCACTGCAGAATACACTGTAACTTAAATGGATCACTTCCCTTTCCAAGATAATTTTATTCCCCGTGTCTTAAAACATACACTCACAAGTGCAACTGATAAGCTTTGCAATTAAACTGGCCTTCAAAAGTCTGGATTTTACACTTGATAATGTCAGCAAGCTACAGTGTGATCCTGAGCACTCTTATGTTGTTCTCTGACCATGTTGTACATTCACAATGTCAAATCTGTGTAACAGAGGTTTTCTTTTGACAGAGGCCTAGAAATTGCCTTGCATAATGGTAACCTATGGAGGAATAGAATTTCCTATAATACTAGATCATGATAAACAAATTATATTATTTGGGGTATAGAAAACACAGGTTTACAGAGAAATGCCTCTAACAATACCTGTACTTCTCCTATAATTACTAAAAGAGAGAAAGAAAAACGTTGTTCTCACCTGGCTAAATGTCCCTGATTCATGAGGTTTGCCATTTCCGCTGGAGAGACATCAATAAACCGGAGGAAAGAAAAACAGCTTTCTTCATTGATGCCTATGTCACAGAAATACTCAAGTTAGGTCAACACATTTCACAGACACTCGGAGCTGAAAACAATACATTTACTTAACAAATTCTCTGTTGAGGGCTCTGGAACCGTCAACACAAGAGGGACATGTACTTGTTGGAGCAGGTCCAAAGGAGGCCACAATGATGATGAGGAGTTGGAGCACCTCCCCTGTGAGGACAGGCTGAGAGAGCTGGGGCTGTTCAGCCTGAAGAGAAGGATCTGGGGAGATCCAGTGGCCTTCCAGTACCTGAAGGGGCTACAGGAAAGCTGGGGACGGACTGCTTACAAGGGTGTGGAGCAACAGGATGAGGGAGAGTGATTTTAGACTAGAGCAGGGTAGATTTATATTAGAGATTAGGAAGTAGTTCTCCACTATGAGGGTGGTGAGACCCTGGCACAGGTTGCCCAGAGAGGTGCTGGAGACCCCATCCCTGGAGAGATCCAGGGTCAGGCTTGATGGGGCTCCAAGCAACCTGATGTAGTTAAAGATGTTCCTGCTCACCAGAGGGGGGGTTGGATTACATGAGCTTTAAAGGTCCCTTCCAGCCCAGCACATTCTATGATTCTACAAATTCAAGACACGTACTTTCTACGACAGGCCCAGCTATGTACGTATCTCCAATACAATTCATATCTATTTAACTTCCACACAAAAAAATTATATCCCCCAAATTACTTTCCTTTTATGGTATGACAAAAAGAATCCCCAAGCAAAAGCCTATTATGAATACCAAAACAGAGACTAGAATAATCAGCAAGACATACGGAAGCCAGGGAGTTATAGACAAGTGCTGGCTCCTGTAGCTGCATCTTAACTGGAGCTGCATCTTAGCTGGTTCTTAACTGGAAAGGGTTTTGCACAGCTGAACAGGTGCATGCTAACAGATTTCAGTGTAATAATGCAGTCAGTATCTCTTGCTTGTTTCTCCCAAAATTTTTCCCACCCCAGCACCTGAGCAATCTAGTTAGCTCTAGCAGGAAAAAAAAATCAATCACCTATAACAATAAATTGTATTTGTCAATACAAGGAGCTTATGTGGCGTTTTTGCTCATCGATAAGATCCTGGGTCACTTGCACCTCATCTACTTTTTACTTAAAACAGAAGGTGGCAGTTTATGTACAATACAGAATGTACTGAAACGAATCCAAGATTTCTCTGAATTGAATCTAGGAAAGATTCACATTAGACTGAAAAGGCAGCATTAAGCCTTGGAAGTAAATTAAACCAAGACAGGAGGAGTGGAACAAGAGACTGTGGTAGAGTTAAGCAGTGACCAAATAACAAGTTTTTCATAGATATAGCTAGAAGTACAAATGCTAACAGAATTCTAACAAGTTCTAATCAGATTATCTCAGAGGACTAATTGATCTGATCTCCCAGTCCTTCCCCCAAATAAGACATATTATAAGATCCCAGGCAAGTGGGCAATTCAACTTGCTTCTCACAACTGTAAACCTACCCTTCCTATGGAAGAGAGACTGCTGGATGTGGTCTGGTGCAAATGGCGAAAGTAAAACCCGTAACCACCTGAAAAGGAAAGTAACAAAACCAAACAAAATTGCTAAGGAAGTGTTAACACACACAATGTTCAATCACGCAAGCAGTAAAAAATGCAAAGTAACCATTCAGTTCTTCATCGTAAGTACTTCAGCACTCTGGATTTCTGGAATTGCATGGCAGCAAGAGAAAAGCATCACTGGCCCACATGCATTACTGTTAATTTGACACTGAGAGACACTGTTGCTCTGGAATTACATTTTACACCATGGAACAGTTAGTCTTATCTGCAAACATGGCTTTCCCATCTCTTCCCTGAGCATTTCTCATAGCTGAATGCAAACAAGACGAATCAAGAATTGTCACAGTTGAAGAAAACAGCAAACTGCACTCCAGCAGCTTCTAGTCACCCAAGGTAAGCATTCAAAGCTGTCAAGGCACTTGTAGACACTCGTGATATACCATGTCGTGACAGGTACTGATAGCTTCACTAAACATGAAAACTCACTGAAGGGAAACTCATTTTTTTCTGTAAGAATTCTTTTAAAACTTAATTCTATTTCACATCATCAGCAACAACTCTAAATTCCTTTTCCTGTCTTATGCAATGAAAGGGATATTTGATGACCAGGATTCCACCACGAAAGAGCATCAGGTATCAGATGCTTAACAGGTGAATGAATGAAAGAAAACAAGGAATGCATCTCCTGGCCAATGTTATTTAAGTACCTCGGGTAAGGGAGTTAATTAGCACTCACAAAGCTAAAATAAGTTTAAGTAATAATACTAAACATGCTAAGGTGGCTTACCTGTCCCGTGAGTGGTTAAAGACCCTGATCTGTCCATGACGGTAGATGAACTTTGAAATCTGGTATGGCTTTAGGGAGATGTGAAATGGAGACCAAGTTTCCTGTCGCTCGAACAGCTCTGGGTGATTGCACACCTATAAAAGAGAGAGAGCGTGTCAAACACGGGGAGGAAATAATTTAGTCTGATGTAGCATTTACACCCCAGATCAATGACTAATGAATGCTAAAAGTTTAATATTCATTAGTATATCACAATTATTTCAGTGTATCTACACAAATTTGAATACTGCATCATATTTTTTTCCTATTTACATAACAACTACTGCCCCTTCTTCCCGGGTGAATGATTTCCTTCAAGAACTAAGTTGAAGACAAACCAGTTAGCAGATGCATGCACCATTTGGCTAACGCTCTTCTACCCCAACATCATACTACACCGCATGAGAAACACACCTGAACTGCATGCAGATTTGCTTGTCTATGCTAGAATTTTTTTTTTATTATGTTTTATAGAAACCATGTTTCAGCTCTGGAATAATGAACGATTATACTTTCTAAAAATTATTTAAAATAGCCTTACCTTCCTGAACTGCATGACTAGATTCATGAGACTACTAGTGGTGGTCTGTGCTTGCTGAGTAGTGCCCATGGAGGACTGCAAGAGGTCATCAATGGAGATTTTGTTTTTCAGAGCCTGGTACAACAGCTTCTGTCGACTTGTCTGCTGGCAGTACATAAGGATTTCAATCTGCAAAATGGTAACGAAGATTTAGTCTTTTCTCTCTCTGAAATGGAGGGTGACCGCATCAGTACATACAAATCGGAGAGAAATAAACCTTAAAGAAAACATAACTTTCTCAAAAACCACATATATAGGCAGTCACATTCATATCTGTATTTCAGGATCCAACCTGGGAAGAACTTACCCAAGAGGTGCGTTTTGGAAGGCTTAGGTAATGATGTAGGAAACAGACCTTTAAACGTATGTGAGCACAACTAAGTAATCACACAAAATCTTAAGCAGCTCTGAAAAAATGACATTTGTAGCTGCTCGGCTTAAAATCTGACTTCAATTCTACTAACCTACTGTTAAAATGCTACCCTCATTAAACGGGTGTCACGACGACAGGTCCATCACGTAACAACAGTGTCTGTGGGAAGGTTCTAGTCTTGAAATAAGTATATCAGAAGGAAGTAGATGTCTCTTAGCAAGTCATCCCCAAACCTGAGCACACGTTGACCACAAGATCATCCAGTACTGCTTACACCCACATAAAATTAAGAGACTAACAAAAGAAAAGAGCGCGATGTTGACACTACACGTTTCAAGAAAAAGAATCCTAAATCCATGCCAAATCCTTCACAAAGGCAACTGGAGCTGTTTATCACCCAATCACTGCTCTATCAATCTTCAGCTAGTGGTATTTCTTTCAAGTTAATCAGGCTTTAAGATTTTTTTTATAACTGCTTTTTTTGGTAACTGTTAGCAAAATGTCTTCCCTAGAAGAAAAGTTCATTAATTAGAGGTTTTCCAGTTACCTTCACATCTAATGAGATTGCTGGGATAAGGTGCCCATGAAAGGTCCACAATCAAATTTCAAGTATGCAGACTCACAAACGAGTTTGCAAAAAAACAAATTAGACAACAGGGCTACGACAATAAAGCTGAAAAACTCATCCCAGACAAATACTTTTTCTCACCTTATCTGACAGCTCATTTTCCACATCCTTCTTGATTCTTCTCAACATGAAAGGCTTCAGGATCATGTGCAAGCGGGATAACTGGTCTGAAATACAGGGAATGGGGAAGAAGGAACAATTAATTGACAAAAGAAGAAAACTGTATCATGTTCCCTACTACAAATTAAGTCCCTTACTGCTCAGCCATTTCCCTCCATATGAGTTCTTACAGCACACAGATGATATCTCTCTGTTGATTTTTCTTTTTTTAAATGTGTAGTGAGCTACTGTTTAACTTAAGAATCTAAAGATCTTCTTCAAAGAATGAACTTCTACAGAATTTTATGTGTTCTATACTCCTCTGGGCTGACCTATGTGGGCTTAAATTTATCACTCGCTGTTAGTGAAGAAGAAAGTTTCAGATGAGATATTGCTAATTTGTGAAAACAGATCATTACAGTTTCGCCCCCCAAAATCACAGCATCACAAGAACAGGTCATACTGCACTGACACACAACTGCAGTCTTTATGATAAAAATAAAGGTTCTGAGAGCTCTTGAAGCCTTTGCTTTTGTGACAAGTTCCAACTGTGCTGTGTTCTACTCCAATAACAAATCAGCTATTTTACCTGGTTAGATTTTTCTAGATAATTATCCCCTAAAACTGAATGGGAATGTTGCTCTCTTGTAAAAGAATTTTTATGCTTTTCTTTTGGAGTTCAAAGAGTATTAGCGCTTTGTGTCATAATTTTTGTGTCTAGAGCTTCTAACAAAGTCAGGTGATCTCCAAGGCGGTGTGCTCCGTGGAAACTTACAAATACTTGAAATATTTGCTCTCCTGTGTTTGGGAAGGAGGAGGACTGGAGACAAGTAGCAAATCAACATTTTCCCTGCACGTTTTTCTATTCATTACACATGCTACATTATAGTCAGAAACACAAACTTTGACATAAACTATAGACAACAACCCATAACATTCCAATGCCATTAGGCACCCTCTGCTTTAGATTATATTTCTCGGGAAAAAAACCAGAGATAAAGTCGATCCATTTGTAGTTGGAAAAAGCAGCAGATTTTTAATACAGAATACTACTGCAGTTACACATTGCACTCACTCTCATCAATGGCAGATTTGTTCTCTGCATGGCTCTCAATGTCCTTAGAAAACCACTCATTGAACTCTTCATGGGAATCAAATAGCGTTGGCATGATAAAATGCAGCAGGGCCCACAGCTGAAAGGAGAGGAGGAAACAGCAGATCAACAGAAGTCATCCTACTGGGGACAAGGTACGTGGGGATCCCAAACCCCTGCAGGTCTTTATGAACAAAATCACTTCACTAGACCATGAGACATGGCAAAATTAAACAGAACTCCAGCTGCATCCTCTTCCCTCCCCCCACCAAGTGCCAAATTTATCAACTTAACAAAACACCACTGGAAAGCAGTGAGAAACACAGCACAATGATTTCAGCCAACAGGGGGGAAAAAAAAAAACCACACGAGAATTCAATTTCATCCTGTAATCTAGGTATTACTAACCACCAGGTATCTTCAGTTTTATTTTTATTTGAATGTGTTGCACATTTCCAAATTTTCCCCTCCTGGAACTGATTCCATGTTTGTCTGACAGTGGTTTGCTACAAGTACGATCCCACAAGCACAAAAATACAACAGGTTTCTCAACTGTTCACATATATTTAGCCTATATTCTTCTGTAAAGAAAAGTCTGCTCTTGTGAGCTCTCAAATACCTCAGCCATCGTGTTCTGGATTGGGGTCCCAGTCAACAACAACCTGTTTCGACACTGGAACTGCAGCAGGATCTTCCAACGAACACTGATCAATAAAATTAAGAAAAATCATTAAAACTCTTTTTTGTCGAAACATAAGGTATTTTAAGACCAACTGCTTCCAGTGACCTTCTCAAATGATTTTTGGAGGTCACTGGGGAAAAACTGTCACAGCTACTCACGAGTCTTTCAAAAGACAATTACAGGAAGAAGTAGCCTTTTATAAATTACAAAGAAATGTGCATAATTTATTTTAGTTTTCACTCATTTTTAGTACAAATAAATCTCATGGTGAGAATAATTAACTTTTCAAAACAAACAGTTATTACGGATCAGAATGTCACGTATTTTTTCCAAGTGCATAGGTTTCTGTGGTAGGAGTGCTGAGCTCTACGTTACAATCCCCTTCGAGGGGCAGTTTCCAAAGAATGCCGAAGAGACAGAGTGGTCAGAACGAGTCTCCAGCTAAGGACTTGCTGTGTACAGCTGCAACTTGGGCAAAGGTTATGGGAAAGCAATTACAGGAGTAAAGAGGGACAAATCCATTACTTGAAAACAAACAGCAAACTTTCTGGCACAGAGTCTCACGGCAAAGATTGGGCTTTACTGTGGCCAACAGTATTCACAGGGTTCTGACCTTCATTCGTGCCTGGAAGTGCCACTGAAGAATGAATCAAAATAATGCATTTAATGGAGCCAATATAAGCAATGCAGACTAAAGACTATGGATTGTTCACTAAGTGGAGTTCTAGTAGTCAGGAACAAAGAGGAGCAGCATTTCACAGTTGTTTTTTTAACTGTCCTGCACGTCACACAAGCTTCTGCTCCACAATTACTTTTTAATTAAATTTTACATATTTGGAGAAGGAAAATCTAAATGCAAAAATCCAGTGGATCAATCCAGGGTCATAGAGTTGTACAGATACTTAACTAGGTTAGACACTTAAAGGGTCTTATGGGTGTTTGTTTTAACTTGTACCAATCTGCGTAATCTTGATTTTATCTTAATACTCCTTCGAGAGGTTGCTGCAGGGAGAGGATTTTGTATCTACTTAATTTATTACCTGGAGCTACTCTTGAGAGCTTGCGCTTCGTCCAACACCATATACTGCCACTTCACTCGCTGGAAATACTTCACATCCTGTACTACGAGCTGGTAACTGGTAATCACCACGTGGAAAGGAGCATCCTGAGTATACAATGTCTTCTATAACCACAAAATAAGAAACAAATGTCAGTGTAACATCAATAGCTTGTGAAAAATTCGCCTGTATATACTGTAATTCCAGACTTCTGTTTCACAATCTTTTCTCGTTATTACTGCATTTTCCTCCAGCTGACTTTTTTAATTAATTCCAGCATGGTTACTCAAGCTCAGCCCACTAGCTTCTGAACAGTTTCAGATGCTTCTTAATGGGCCAGACAAGAACCAGGCACTGAATCCTACAAAACGTGGTTGTTAACTCAGGAATAATCTGACAGGCCTGCAGGGACGCTAGAGGCTTGGGCATCCTGCGTTTGGTTCCTCAAACAGAATAAACAGTCCTTGACACTGAAACTTCCTGCTTTATTTACAAAGTCCCAGCTTTTTCAGCTAAATTCCGTATCGCCCTTAACTGCCCTGTAGTGTATTGCTCTCCAGCACATGAGAAGCCTTCTACTTCATCATCCTAATGAAACTGCTGGTACATGGATGAAGAAAGAGAACTCTGCATCCACACACTGTTTCACTTGGTGGGCTGTAGCAACAGTTTCTGGTTGACTGCACAAAAAACCAAAGCACGCGGGCATGTCAGTATTACCTGACTCCAGAACTTCCTGATCACCTTTCTGTCATGGGGATTTCCCCAGTAAGGTAGCACCTGCAACAGTACAAAAATAGAAAGACGTTATTTTCAAATAAAGATACAATTGCTCTAGAATTTTACAATACGTATTTTACAAATGAAAATGATAGGCTTTCTCCAAAACAACGAAAAGGGAAATTATCTTTTTTAACACAAAGAAAAATCAGAAAACACTTAAAAACATTCAGAAACAGCGCATTCCAGGCAAATTTATCATGCAACTTTTGCCTAGTACAAAGACTAGACTAAGCTATGCCGACAATCTCAAAATGCCCAGTAGCATGTTTCACCTTCTAGTCATTTTTTTCTAAAAATTAAAAATGATACTTTGCTTATGGCAGAAAGAGCTCTGCCCTCAACTGCTACAGTTAATCTACACTATTAGTGCTCTTGTTCTCTTGTTAAACCTTCCCCATCATCCACTGGTTTAGTATTTCAGAACTATCTCCCCCAAAATCTGAGATAAAAGTTAAAACATCTGGCCTGGACATATTTAATACAAGATTTTTAAACTGTAAGCACTACTATCAGAGAAATCTGTTAATCCCTTTATAGCTCAGAATTTCATGGGTCCTATTACTCAGCACAGGTCTCTGCAGTGCCCTGAAACCAGTCACTGGTTAGTAACACTGTACTGCCATCTCCTGTCGGATTAAAAGACTACACCCAACGAAGTGAGGAACGCTGGGTTTTGAGGCTGTGAAATGTCTTAGCTCCATCCTTCAACTGACAAGCTCCAAATTTCAAAGTGCCTTTAGTCGAACGTTCTTCAAATTCTTCTGAAATAAGGATGCAAGGAAAATACCATCAGACTAGTCAAAAAGTGATGTGCCTTTTCAGATTACATATTCTGCCAAGGACCTGCAGAAACTAATTCACTTCACACTTCTGTACGATTAGAAGCAGGAACAAAACTGGTTGAAAAAGATCAAACAAAGCTGCAAAGTGACAATCGTTAAGTTTAGAAAACTTCTTTTTAAAGCATGTTCTGCTCCACAGATGAGGTGAATGTTACCATGCAATAAACCCAAAGAACAGCTATATAGTGATGGAAACAGGTTTATTATTTTTATCTATCTTTTCACAAGCACCCTGACTGCATTTTTAAAATGTTTTCTACATTTCATTCACAAGAAGGACAAAGCATAAACAGCTGCTTGCTTATTCTAGACAATGAACTGATTAAAGGAAATGAAAGGAAGTAGAACGGCCAACTGCTTTTAGGTTTTCCATGCAAATACATAAATGGATCATTTTTGGTGGGTTTTTTGAAGTAACTCCTCACTAACTTAAGCATTTCTATTTCTTTATCAGTTTCCTTGAAGTCTCAGTAATCAAATTTATCCCTATATAAGTCATCATCCGGTACTAAACTATGTTCTAGCACAACTTCTCCTGTACAGCTGCAAAGGAGAACACACGGTTGCATCAGGGGTCTGCAGATCAAGCTACTGGGTACAAGTCCTACAGTACTGCCTTATCCCAAGATCAAGAAATAAAAATAGTACTCAGACTAATACTTCCACGTCTTTTCCTCTACCTTTTTAAGTAGCAAAGACATTCAAACAATTAACTTGGATATTACTGGTATACTACGTGTCTTTTACTGATTTTACAGGTTCTCGGTAAAAAACACAGGTTTAAAAAACACCTGATCAAGATCTCTTCATATCAAAGGTTATTACGTTAACAACTCAAGTATTTAGACTATATTCTTTGCACATGTAACTGCAAGCTTCTGACACTTGAGTTTAATTCTAATATTTCAGCCATGTTCAGCAACAGGCATTCTTCTCAAATCCTCCTTCGCAACCCTGTTTGCCACTGCGGAATAGGGAAATAGTTTGTTTTTCAGTAAGTGATCGTTCCTTGCTTTCTATCTTACTGTTTCACATTCACAATATACCTCAAGAACTCTCACTCATTTTCTTCTAATCTTTTTGTTTCATCTATTTGTGCCTCACTTCTCTCCTTTTTCTGCATTACTAGTTTTATGTCTATTGTTCTTCCATTTTTCTGCAGCAATAACTGCATTCTCTCTTCCTCTAATCTGTTCAGAGTTCAGTTTTGTTCACACCCAATCTTTATCTTATACAAATTGATATGAGTGACTGTAAACACTGGTCTAACCCTAAAGACAGCACCTAAGACTGAAATATTATTTTTATATCTTCTGTCAGGCCTACACATTAGAACCAAACATCCATTCTCTACCCCACTTCAATTCCTCACTGAGAAGGCGTCTTTAAGCACCTGCAAAAGAAAAATCCCATTCAAGTAGGAACACTACTTGAGTTTAAGTTTAGTTTTAAACACTGGATAACTGATTGCTCCAGATAAAAAAAAAAAGATGACAGAAAAAAATACCAGAATCAATCCCACTACAGAATTCCAAATTCCAGGGTAATTAGGCATCCAGATGTGGCAAAGAACTCAAGAGAACAACACAGTTTGCTTTTGAGACAACAGAAAGAACTTTCTTGCACATGCTTATTACCTTAAACTTAGGTACGAATCTGGCAAACTCCTGGTGCCAGTTGTTAAGAGTAGAGGCAGGTGAAATTATTAAAAAAGGTCCCCAGATGTTCTCTCTCTGGAATATATACATTAAAAAAAAAAGTGAAAACATGTCACACAGAAATGAATTGGGGGGGAGGGACACAGAGACAGTCTGATACAGATTTACAACTACTAAACCACAGTGGCTACATAAGCGAGGGAACTATATGCAACACAACCAAACTTCCTCCGAGCACAGCAGGGTGATACAGAACCACAGAGAGAGCAGATCCACTGTTTCACCACCATTTATTTTATGACGGCAAACCAGAACAACCGCTGTTTCAACCTGGCTCGCTCCTTTGTCTCTGCAAGTTGCCACCTTCACATTTTTAACAGCCCTTGTCATTTTGGGGAGGAAAAGAACTTCAGGTTGCACTGGCAAGCTTTGCTTCATCCCATGCCATGCCATCCCATCAGAATACCCTCTGGTGAATAACAAATTTGGGCCCTTAGTGTACTGGTAGTTACAACTGGGCTGCAGAAGGGAAAGTCAGAAAAAGCAAAAGCCTTGTGCAGGCTTCCAAAAACCTGAAGTTGCAGTTTAACAGGGAGACAAGCCTTTCTGTCTCCCCCTGCCATACAGATGAGCTCTGGAGCCACTGGCTCTGCACGCTCTTCTGCCATGGTGGCTCACGGTGCCAGGGAACTGGTATCAAAAGGAACAGAAACAAATGCACATAATTGTCATTTTGGCACAACTGAAGGTAGTTCTGCTCTCAGTATCACTTGGGTAACATCCGCTGCTTATGGCAATTGCCTGGATGGCAATCAGGATTTTTTTATATATAAATACAAAGGTATCTATTTCTGCATACACAAGCAAGCTTCTGCTGCTTTTTTTTGGCTTTGTTTGTCTGCTCTGGCACAGAAAAATCACTGTGCTTCCTGAAAAAAAACCAACCCACAAATACAGAAATCCATGCTCATTGCCAAATCTGGGCTTCAATTCTACAAGCCTCTCTGATTTGTAAGAGTCAGTGAACCATGAAGTCTACAACTTTTCTCTTACCAGGCTGATATTTAGAGGCAACTAAAAAGATACTATTCTGAATAAATTCAAAATTCCATTTATATTTATATATATTTCTGTATACATACAAAGACATGAACTTTCAAAGGTGTAGCTTTAAAAAAAGGGAAAGGCCATAGCTAGAATGACTTTTAAAACACTTAAGCCTTATCATCTAGAATTGAAGCATGTGAAAAGTATGCATCTTCTACCAAGCATACCAACCAAGAATAAGTTCTAATCTACCTACCTCAGCCAGATGTGCAAGGAGAGCAATACTTTGTACTGTTTTACCCAGACCCATTTCATCGGCCAAGATTCCATTGATGCCCTGCAAAAGATCCATAAATCAACATCTTTCACCTTACTATTTTTAATCCATACAGAACAATCACAACTGAATTTAGGGAGAGTAGGCCCAGCATAACAATTCTGAAACACCTTAATGTCTCTTAAGACTTTACCAAGACATAATTTACAATCTCTAATTTAATACCCCAAAGTTTATATTTCCTAAATAATCAAAAACACTGACAGGTGGTTTATATAACATTTTCCTTTCTTCAGGAGATGTTACAGACTAGTATACGCAGTCTATTTTTAAAATCATGACATTTTTTGACCGAGTTTACTCTAATGACTTAAATAATCCTAGAAGCTTTAAAAATTTGCAAGATGTGATAAGATACCTGCTCATATAGGTTGGCCAGCCAATTCATTCCTTTCAGTTGGTAACCTTTCAGTTTCCCATTGAAAATAGTAGGCTGTGGAATATCTTCTCCCGCTCGGATTGATGGGTTTGCTAAACTGTAGCTCTCTCCAAAGCCAGTACCGGACTTGTTAGCAGCCCGTAAAGCAGCTGCCCGACTCTCCTTTGCATCTTCATCAAATGATCTGGTCTAAACAGGAAGAGGAAAGTACGTGTAAGATGACAAACACATTAATTTATCAAGAAATTGTAGAGTAAAAGGCTTTACACTTCACATTAAGACATAGGATGTCTGCCAGAAACTAAGAGAAAACAAGGCTGTTCCTTTAGCCCAAATCTTCACAGTCTGTTTTTTAACCTGTTCAGCACAGAAAGCGAGAAACGGAATTACATTCAAATCTGGCACCTAGGATTAAACAAACCTACTTGAGTTGGCTGCTATGAGGCATCCTGGTTCTGTGGCCTCTACCCATTAATTCTGCTTTCTCTTCTACTTTGTGGATCCAAAAATATACATACCCGGGCCTGATGGATCTGGTAAGCATCCTCAGCATTCTTCAGAGCTTGGGCCTTGTAATAGTTACTATCTGAAAACAACATCTCCGCGTTAGAGCTCTGCAACTGTAGCCATCCAAATTAACACAAATAAATTTCAATAATTATGACAAAGGCTTCTTACGTAGGAAGATTTTGTGCTTGAAACGTTAAGTTTGCACAATAACGCGCAGAGTACAGTAAATTTCAAAAGCATGCACTGGAAGGATTGCAGAAAAATCGCTTACCATAATCTTCTTGGGTGATGTTGACCACTACTCCTCCACCAATATCAATTTGCCTTTGTGTAGAGCTGTCCTCCAGTTTGCGTAAGATTTCCTCCTGTATTCCATCATGTCCAATATCTCGTTTACGACTCATAAAATGGGCATACAATTCAGTCTGTGTAATCAGGAAGTTAAGCTTTCGCTGCTGCCTCTTAGCCTAACAGAAGAGCATTTATAAAAAACAGATCAAGGAGGAAAAAAACAAGACAAAAGTTTAATGTTTAAAATATCATTGAAGGAAAAAAATTATTTTAATAATATATCAACAACTAATCTATCCAGACTGCGATGTGCATCACTGCGATATCAAAATGCTAAACTAGTTGCACATAAGAACTTTGATCACCACCATAACCATCTATATTAAAATATAAATTTGTTGTAAATTAAAAGTTCTTTTAAATTCAGTAATCATGATAAAGAACACCATACTCTAATAAAAAAAAGTTCTAAAATTTTGTTTACGCTGAAAAATTAAAATATTGACAAAAATCAATGGGATTTTAGTGGTCTACAGTAAAAGAATTGAAGAGTTATATGCTCTGATGACAACCTAACTCCAACCTTCCGTTATTTACTAGGAAAGAGAATTATGGTAGAATACATGAAACACATCACTAATTAATACAGTGGAGATATTATTGGCTGGGCTTCAGCAAGACATTGAAGAAACTCTGTTCCTTCTTAGGTTCAGGTTAAAAAACGCTATAGTTGGGAGCTGTTTATTAACCTAAGTCAGCTGAACCCTTCACAAAACACGAATTTGCAAGAATGAGAGGAACACAACAAATAAAAGCATAATTTAAGCATAAAACTAAACATAAAGATTCCATCCTAGCTCAGCACCGCACACGTAAAGTAACAACCATAAATCCACTAGAGAGCTTTGGCAAGGAAGCTGTTTCTTAAATTCAACCCCTATTACTCAGTAAGGAAGTCGAGGAAGCTATCACTTCGCCAAGAAAAAAAGCAATCGCATAAAAACTCTGTGCCCCATATCGAAACTACAGTATAAGTTTACAGCAGGGGTGAAAAAAAGAAAATCCAACGTGAGCGAGAAGGTGGCTTGCTTTCTGGACCCCAAATAATGTACAAACGAGACAAAAGGCTGTCCCTTGCCAACACTGAGGTATGCATGCCTGTGAGACGCACGCTGCTGCTCTCATCCCTCCCTCCATTTCACTCACTGCTAAAGAACTGATGCAGTTCAAAGGCTTTTCTTCTCACCTCTAGTTAACATTAGAAGAATTATTTTAAGATAGAAGAAATATGTGGAATACTGCTGAAATGGAACCAATAACTGCATTGCACGGCCTAGATTTAGAAACTTAAATTATCCAGTCACTTCTGTCTCCCTCACCAGATAAACTAACAAGCAATCTGTGTTTCTGCTGTACCTCTCTCATCTCCTCATCCAGCTTGCGTTGCTCCAGTGCCTCTTTCTCAGCTCGTTTGCGATGTTCTTTTTCCACCTTTTCGTACTTTTTCCAATAGAGAAGCATCTCCTTGGTAAGACGACGCGCCCGTGGTAGAGTTTCCTTACAGTTTTTCTGAGCTTGGATAGCAGCTCGACGTACCTCCCGCATGCACTGATGGGCAAGCTAGAGAGAAATGAGGTTTGGAAAACAGTGGTAAAGTGAGAAGATTTTAAAGAAAGTCAGCAATAAACATCACATTTAACTTTAACCAAGCCTGATCTTTTGGAAGTGATACTTTACTTGGCAGTAATGCTTCTTGAAATGGCATTTCCAAAAACTTCCTGAGATGGTGAAGACAAAAACTGAAGACGGTTTCAGGAGGGCACGGTACGCAAAGGATCCTTGAAAAGGAGTCAGGAGACCAGAGTTCACGACCCACCTGCAACCCTGACTCACCTATTCCAGATGCTTTTCTATGGTTCTTTTTTCACTGTTTTAACAAGGCTGCTGCGTTAGCAGCATTAGTGAAACACAATCCCAGTCACATTAATACGTTGCAAAGTGGAGGAGTATCTCATGAAGAAGCATAATACAACATAATTTTTCATTCTAATATAAATAAATTCATGCCATTGTCGTCATGGTAAAAATCGCTGGGTTTGATGTTTGTGACAGGTTTTTTCTTTCCTCCACTAAAATTTGCACGTCAACAATGCCAACGCACAGATTTAAAATGATCAAGCAACGTGAAAACAAAGAATAAAAGGGGAACTTCAAAACCTCTAAGTCTGCTGCTTCACTCCCTTGCTAAAATGCCAGTTGTGATACCTACAAATACAATAATCGCAGACTATTTGCCCAGACATCACGAAGAAATTCAGTCTGCCAGCTAAGGAGGACCAGCGGAGAGATCCTACCTACAGCAGTTTCTTAAACATAAACATGCAGGTCCTGTTTTCTGCCTCGTTTACACAGAAAATGCTCCCTTTCTTGATTATGTATACACAGAACAGAAAATTTCCTGCATCACTGTCTCTGATGATTCTTAGCCATATACCTGATTACCCTTCCATTAGCCATATAAATGAATCAGACACTTGAGGGTAACACCTGAAAAATGCTCAAAGCCATTACCAAATGTTCCTAAGGTAAAGCCTTCTAGGTAGAAAAAAAATAACAAGAAGACTCTGACGAGGAGAAAAAAATCCTTTTGCAATCACTTAAGCAGAAAAATTGTTCTATTTTTAGTCTCGGCTCCTATATATATTTATGTAAATTAGCATGTTTAATATAACAAGAGCCCCTTTGATTTCAACAGGAATGCTTAAACCAGCAAATTTGAGCTTGTGAGGAGATGGGTAGTTTAAAGTATATGGAAGTCATTGATTTATCGTATCAAAGGTCAGTAAATTGAAACAAACTAAATCCTGGGAAAGCCCAAAAAATCTCACGAAAGAAATTCGTGTTGCTCATTTCATCTCTTCCTTACGAAAGATGCCAGAGGGACATACGTAAAAAATTAAAAGCCTTACACAAAGTGACAAATCACCTCTATACAGTGCCTTCTCCTGTACTTCCCTGCTAGTACAGTCAGTATCGTAAGAAACAAGAAATAGAGGTTACAGTTTGCTTATTACATCCATTACAAGCAACGGTATAAAGCTAAACAATTACCTTTTTGCTGTTGGTTAGGAAAAGGTTGCGGGCTGAGGCTTTTTGCTTGTATGCCTGTAAAAGAATACCATCTTAAAATTAATTAAAGGCTAACTGCGTCACAGTATTTTAAAAGACTGCTATCCAGTCTTCAGCAGACACATGTGCCAACTTCAGCCATGCACACTGCTGTACAACTGGGTACAGGTACTCTAAGTATTTTTTATTTTGACTGAAAGAGCTTTTGATCCTTAATTACTGAAGGCATATAAAAATGTACTCCAACTCCTGACGGATGCATGTAAAACACCTCCTTTATCAGGACCATTTCTTTAATTACTGCTATTGCAAAGCAGGTTTCTCCTATTTCAATGTTATCACTGAAGTAAACAACAAAAATTTCCCGTTTCCCAAAGATATTCACATTCAGCGTGGTTCTTATATTCCTGGATTAAAATCAGTTTTTCGAAGAAAACAGGGTCTATCACACCATACATATCCCTCTGCCCGACTTGTAAGTTCACAAAGGATGATAGAACCATCACTCATATTCAACATCCTAAAATTCAAAGACTGTTAACTGCAAACTCCAAAAAGCAGGTTGTGAGGTCCACTCTGATGACATCTCAGAAAACCAGCACCAGTGAACCTGCCTTTCTATTTCCAATGTGCCTGAAGCTCACCCTGTACGTGACACACTTTTCCCTAGACTGCTTCTGAAGCAAGCTTCAAAAAACATGAGTGTTATGATGCTCTAAACGCTCCCTTCCTGAACTTTATGTAAAACTGAGATATTGGCTTGCTCTATGTTGCTAGGCTGTAGATTAGCAGGAGTAGCTGTCAGAGTTTACTGTACTCTTGACAGACAAGAGTTGGACAGACAAATGAAAGCAGTGCAAAGCACTGCACGATCCACTCAGCCATCTCTGGTGTAAAGAAATTTGAGCTACACTTTGCTTAGAGATTACAGAATACAGGCTTGGTCATTAATGACCACCAGAATAAAATCAGGTCTTACTTCACTGCAGTTTTCCAAGTGTCAACTCCCCACCAAGTTAATTTTCAATTTTACTTTCTCGCTGCCATGACCGATCCGATGCCACTAGCCAAGCTCACCTTTGGCAACTCCTTTTTAACGATGCTAAGCCACACCTTCCGCCGACGTGCATTAAGTTGCTCAATAGTCAAATGCTTTTTCTTGGACCCAGGTGGCGGTGTATCATGAGAAAACTTGGCAAAAACTTTGGTCTGGTGATGGTGGTGTCGTGGTGACTCCTCTGAAGAGAGTTCTTCATCCCGTCTCCTCTTTTTCTTTACTTTTTTCAACTTGCCTGCATAGAAATAATGATCATAAAGATCAATTTCTTTTTCTACTTCTTTGGGATATACTTAGTCAGGTATCTTATCCTAACCAATTTATGCGTGGAATTGACAAGAAAGCCAAACTCATCCATGTTTGCCAATTCTGGTGTCATCCATTTATCTTATTAGTTATTTCCTCACTAATTTATAATGGAAAGATTTACCTGTTTAATAAATAGAGTGATAAAATGCAATCTTTCCAACCAAGGAAACATGCCTTGGGACTTAAAATGTCTGGGGTGTGGTCACATGCTTCTCACTTTGTGGTGAATTTCTACTTAGACATGTAAAAGTAAGACATTTAAAGGTAACAATATTAGCATTTAGTAGGATAATTCTCAAGACAAATTTGTTAGCAGTTGAAAGAGACTGGCATGTTATCATGGATCACAAATAACATCTTTCAGAGGAAATTGATGCTGGTATCAGGTATTAAAAATACTCTTTGGGAGTATGCAAAATCACAGATACTGCTAGATTAGTGGAGAAAACAAATACAGAATTAAAGGAACTTGCAGAAAGATAGGAAGGAAGGAAGGAAGCCCAAAACAGGCCCCTTAAAACACAGCTCAAACTTAAGTGCTTGCACTAAAGAGACTTCACCCTACACTGACAGTTCACAGCCTTCTCTTCCTGCTCCCTTACAGATTTACAGCTGCTGCCAGCTCAACCAAGGAAGGGAACGGTACTTCCTGGCAAACAGGCAACTGAAAAACGCCAGTGGAGAGGTTACAGAAATAATTCTATTATTTTAACTCACACTGGACATCAGTTCTGAGTTCCCTCTGATTTCCTCTCACCCCTTATAATTTCTTGTTCACTAGAATTACCTGCCACAATAATGGCAGCAGGTACTGGCTAAGTTCTTATATTTTTCAATGAACTCTCGTGCTTTGAAAAACTTTGAGTAAATGGACGATGATGCACAACGGTATTTATGGATTCAAAAGCAATGAATAAAGCTATGAGGTACTTACTGCATAAATCTTTCGTTCTAGAGTCAGAGGTTCACAAATAAAATCTAAAGCTGTGAACTCTCTATTCACACACCCTTTTCTCACCCTACCTTTCTAGAAGCCAGAAGATAAAGCACAGTATTTTCTGAAGCTTTTTTCTGTGATGGAACTGGGTATGTCCATGCAAACCCTGTAAGTTTTGAACATTTATGTGTAATGTAGGGAAGAAGTTTAACAACGGAAGCCATTTAAAAACACAAGGTGAGCGAGTTTACCTTTTAATTTTTTCTCTTCTTTAAACTTCTTTTTCTTGGGCCCTAGCAGGTGGCGCTGCTGCTCGTAGTAAGGATCATGTGTAGACAGCAGCCCTGCACTGTAGTACTGGTACTGCTGCAACTGAAGGGGAGGAAAACGAGCACAGGAAAGGAAAATAGAGGTCACAGAGATAGCAGGTGACCAAGTTCAGATCTTGATCATCAACAGGAGATCAGAAAACATGAACTTCTCTCTATTTAGCACGGTTACCTAGAACCACATGTTGTTCAAAGCGAGCAAAGTGGCCTCCAAGCTCTACCCAGCCAGTACTGGCTTACCCAGTTAAGGCAGACAGGAGGAGCAGGCAGCGAGGCTTCCACTTTCCCAACACACTGCTCCATCTTTTCCACATGGGTGCTGCCCAGCCAGAAGTGGTCCAATTAGGGACCCCCTATTTGTTTTGCTTGCATTCCCAAATTACACACGTGTTCTACTTTATCATTCAAAAGAGTGTAAAAGGATGGGCCTACATAAAAGACATTTAAAAGATTCCCACAAGGACCAACAAGTTGAACATCCAGATTGTCAAGTAAATAGCTGCCTTGGCATTTTTTATCTAAATTATAGAAAATGACAGTATGTATCAATCATTATTCAATTAAAATATTAAAGAACTATACATGGTTATAAACAGATAAGTTAAAGAGAGTACAGATCAAAATTTAACTATTTAAAACCTAAGCACACTATGAAGTTATCGAAATACTTTTGACCATCAGCATACACAAACATTTTTGGACAGATGTGCTTCCCCACCTCCTAACCGTGCACTGCTTATCTGACAATATCTTGGGTATATTCACTGGATATTATTTCTTACCAGTCTGGAAATAAGTATTCATGTAAAATCTAATCTAAGTTATGACCTTCAACAGCAGCTACTACTTGTATTAGAATTGAACCCACAGCACCTCAGGTTTCACATATATTATCCACATCTTGTGTTGCAGCACCCTGTATCTGCTCTGTTGACTGGGACAGAATGGGATGGAAGCTATTCACAACACATGTGCCAGTACCAGCTACATAAATTATCAACAGCTTTTCAGCATAAGGCATCAACAGCTTTTCAGTCTGTATGTAATTAAATAACCTTTGTCTGAAACTGATGTTAGATTCTTGCAGCCTACCAAACAACAGGATATTTTCCAGTCCATAAAATATGTTTTTTGCTAAAAATGTAAGAGCAGTTAAAATAACACAGTTAAAGAAAGAATAAAAATCAAGGAAATGTAAAAATTCTGGACTTTTACCTCTTTGTCTTTGCTATATTTGCTTTGATGCAGTTTCTTGTATTTGTGTAATCGCAGCATATTGTGAAGTTCCTCCCTTGAAAGAGAAAATTCTTCTTCATCTCCGTCCTCATCACTTGGTGAATCTGTGTCACTGGAGTCATCGCTCAGAAGGATGCTCTAACAAGAACAAATGGAAACTAATTTAACAATCAAAAGTCTCTTTCTTGATTTGTTTATTTACGCGAAGCACTCTGGGGCCTTTACTTAATCAAGGGCTGTGGGTCTGGCCCAACAACGATACTTTATAGAATGTCTTCCACCTGCAACGCCTCAAATGGAAAGTGGTTTTCTGAGGTACAGCTCTGTGTAGCAGTGAATCCAATGCACGTTTTCTCATTTAGGGGGAGGTAGTTTTCTGTTAGTTCAGTGATAGTTTAAGTCACTTCAGAATCCACCATGTCTGTGGTCCTCAGAAAAGCAGCAGTGAGAAAATCCAGGATACCAGGAGGGGCATCTTGTGCTGTACGGTTGTGGATGCATTCCTGCCCCGTTTGTACCTTGTCCTGTTATTCTACCACTTCCACCTGCATCAGCTGAAGCAGGTCTGGCTCTTGTCTGACCTCTTGGCAACCCATTTTTGCTAACTAGAGAAGGCTACAGGACGTTGCAAATGCAAAGATGGCATAAAGCCATCGTTGCACTCTCTCCTTCCATTCTCATTTGGATCTTCTACTGAGGTCATCTTAGAAAAAAAATTTCCAGTTGACTCCCAAATGTCCATTTAACATACTTCAAAACAGATCATTTTAAACTGGACAGTGTACTAAAATTACTTTAAGTTTCTGAATGTGTGCTTAATGTGCAATCTAATTAAAACGCTGCTGCTCACCAAAATCAGCCAACTGTCCATTTTGCTATGCGATGAAAATGAAACCCTCAAATCTAAACAAACTATAACTCTATTTTGTTCTCCCCAAAGTCTAACAGTGTTCATGATCAACTATTACACATCCTTCTTCCTTTGCATTTCCAAGATGAGAAGCCTCTGCAGAATGTATTTTTTTGCTTTGGTAAGTATTTTTTCTTAATGCCAAAACAAAACAAAGAAACAAAAAACAAGAAAAAGAACATTCTTAGCAAGTGACACTCACCTCAGTTAAACAAGCCAACAGAGAACAAGACTGAAGAATTCATCTGGAGGCCTCTTTTCAGCAAAACAAAATATTACCATATCTCTGTATTACCTTACGCCTCTTTTTCGGGGTGAGATTTTCCATCCATTGAGTTGCCTCAGGTGATTTAGGGCAGCTCTTAAAAGCACAACAGCCTAGCTTTCTGAGCTCTCAGGAGTACGTGTAAAGTAAAATCAAATGCACTACTGAGATGAGAAGAAATAAACTTACTGTAAACTTAAGGTATTTGGAAATCGTATTTGTGCCAATGCTCTGACCTCTGGTCAACTTATTTTTTTGGTGCCATCCACCTGCCTACATGTTTCTGCACCATGATCTACACCGGATCACAAGATGGAATCACTCACCACTGTCTACGGGGTCTTGACTGGAACTCTACTCACAGATTTCCTAATAGCAGCATTTCTTTCCAGTATTTCTTACCTTCAGCCACTTTCTGCTTTTCTTCAGTTTGGAAAAGTTATACAAGCTCCCTTTTTCAGACTTTGGTTCTGTTTAGAGAAAAAAAATAAATAAAGGTCTTAATAAATAATGTTTTTCCCAGCTTATCCCAAAGAAAGCAGACCTTCAACCTAGTGCATCCCTACCTGGCTGCAGTACCCCATTCAAGGAATGTGTGTTCAGCATCCCGGAATTCCCTGCTCCAGAAGACTCCCCAAGGAAAGAGTTTGGAGGCTCTTCCTTAACTTGCATCAGGGGATCCCCAGGCTGAGGCAGTAAAGGATTGTCATCCAATCCATCTTCACTTTCATCACTGCAAGAAGATACACGATATGAAAGGGAAGTATTCAACAGAGAAGATATCCATGCAACTTTCTTACATGTGGCCATTTGTCTAAAAGTTTGAGAATTGAGACGGCTTCAGATGTGATTTTACACATTAGAAATATTGCTGTTAATAATTCCTTGTTAACCCCTATGCAGTAGTTAACCATCAGACCAGCCTGGCTATGCTACCAGCCTGCACCTTCAGTCTTTAACAAGATGCCTAATTTGGGAAGCACAAACTAGGCAAGAAACTACTATCAAGAAAATCCAAAGCCCAACATTCTTATCCTCAGCACTACTGTCCCTGTGAGGAATATAAAGCTCTACTTTTTCTACTCCTTGTGTGGATGTTATTACATGCTTGTAAATACACCTGTTAACTATTACTCATACAGTTGTTAGTTCTGTAACTCCACAATTCTCAAACACGGATGAAACTGAACACAAATTGTTTTGGGATAGAAAATACCTTGATGATTCACTTCTCAATGCTACAACTTACATAGAAATTCTGCATCTGACAACAGTCTTTGCATTTTGCTTATGGCTACAAGCCACGTCCCTGAAAAATCAGTTTAGTGCTTCTTCATCCTACTTTTTGCAGACAATGAAAGCTTTGGCCATTCAGCAATGAAAAAGGGCTTTAAGACCTTTTGCTAATTTCTACATGGGCTGGCAACACATTGAATTGTCAGCGTGAGCCAGGAGAAGCAAAAGTCCAAAATCTTTAAAGGAGAAGAGTTTATAATGAACATGTCACTACTAAATTCTTAATATGGCGTTGCCTGGAAAGAACATAATAAAAACGCTTTGATTTCCGTGGTATTCCAAGGGAAGACTGAGAAGGGTTCGGTACCTGGATATACTCCTGTTAAAGATGGCAGACGTCTGTCGTAAAAACTGATCCAGTTGCAGAGCTTTCTCCAGATATTGCAGGTAAAGGGGTTTTGCCAGCTCTGAGCAGCTGCCATCCTCCCTGGCACCCAGCTCCGAGGCCATAGAACAAACTTCTCCTCATGCACAGGTGCCTCTGAACACGCAGCTGTTGAGAAGAAACAACAGTCAGCACCCACTCGGAAAGGAACGCCCTCGGTGTGAGCGGGCAGATCTACGGCACGCTGCGCCAAACGCTGGTAGCTCACAGAACGCGTAGCCAAGGCAGCTCTGGGCAAAAAGCTTAGGTTGCAGTTAATATGTGTATTCAACAAACAAAAATCCATGCTGAACTTCCCATCACAATACTACCATAGCCAAACCCTAGATCTTTAGTTTTCTGGTTTATGACTTTGGGTGAGCACGGCAGTGACCAGTGCCATAACCCAAGCGGCGACAGAAATGCGAAGTACAGTGGAGCCAGAATCACATATATAAACTTACTCCAAAAAAAGGAAGAACTATTGAAAATACTGTTCTTCTGTTGTTTTCACCCTTCTTTTCACAGCTACAGACTGCAGAATACTTGTAAGACTTTTCCTTTACTTTAAAGCAATGGTACCGACAGCATCCAGAGCACAGCTGTTACCTCTTGACAAACAAGGTACAAATACTTGAACAAAAACACTGGCATTCTAAAATACAACTGTTATCTTTATTAAAGAAAAAGTAACATATAATCAGTAATTTATTGCATACTTTTTATATTTACAAACCAAGAACATACTCCCGCTTTGTGGTTTCTCAACCAGTAAAAAAAACCTGCCTGATTTTCACTATATTTGTTCTCAGGATTTTAGGTTTTTTTAAAAAAACCAAACACATTCCCCCTGCTATATTTGCATAATACCTACTTTAAAAACAAAGCTATCAAAAATTTTATTGCTCTGTCAACTGCAGTTTTATTTTCCTCCAACTACAGAAGATGTCATAACAACTGTTATAGTAATAGCTGTCAACTGAAATTCTATTTTTCTTCAATTAAAAAAGATTATAGTAATAGTGAGAAAGATAATTTTAAACTACTTCCAATGTCACAGTTGTCACTGTATAAATGAAAGTGCTGTGAATGCTCTAAATATGGTAATATTTACTAAAAAATTAATGCCTTAAGCTTTTGCTTCAGGTGGAAGACAAAAATAAAACCTGTCAGCTTTTGAAAGACTTAGATTGATTCTTCTGCTTTCTATCATTTCTTAAAAATACTACAAAACCTGAAGCAAACTTCACGTTAATTTATTGCAAAACATTTTATATTTGTTCAATTATTAAGCTGTTAATGACTAAATTGTTTTATGTTTATATAACTGAAAACATAGATTAAGTATCTGGCCTTCAGATTGTTCTCTCTTCATGATTCAAAAACCACCATCCAACTTTTGCCAAGTCTTTTATCCTCCAAAATTACAGAATAGATTCAGAACTTCTAAAGTTACAAAAAAATCATAAGTGATTACCACCTTGAGATTAATGGCTGTGGTTGAACAGGTACAAATTTTATTATTTCTTAATAAACACCAAGTCTTGAGTTAACATCTTTACCCGCACAGAATATATCATGGTATTAAGATTCTCATTTTTCAAGAAACTTTCATTTACATATGTCATACAGCTTAACAGCCATCTAAAAAAAAAAAACAAAACAAAATCAAAAATGGAAAAAGTCCAACAAACTAAAATCAAAACCTGTTTTCCAAGAGACAGGGCCACGAAGAAAGTACAGTGGTTAGCAAATGATGGGAAACAAGAAACTTTTGTCTCTGTTAGAAGAAATCACTCAGGAGGATATAGAAAAGGACACAAAGAAGGTGAAAGTGGGTTTCCTGCAGATCATCAATAAAAATGATAGGCACTACAGGAGCAAGATCATCCCTAGTGTCATTGGAGAAAACATAGAAGTCAACCAGAGCATGTTAGGTTACCACGATATTATTTTTATTTTCCCAGCCAAAATGTGATGTGCTACCACTGTTCAACGATCTGACTCAGAAAACCTTCTTCCCAACACCTGTCTTTGAGGTGCTGTGGTAAAGAATCGTGCCCCAAGGGGCACAAAACACACGGGATCTTCTTTGGCTTCACCACCTCCAAGGAAACCAACAAACCAAATATACCCTTTTGCACCTCAGTGAGCCTTGCCCTCACAAACTATAGGAAAAATAAAGGGAAAACAAGAGAGATTTGAGGTCAAGTTTTTCATTGCAGGACAGCGAACAGGCCAGAGGCAAACCAAACACAACCATATTCCTGATCTACAATGAGTAACTGGATGCTCTTCCAGCTGCCCAGACGGACGCAGGTGAGCAGATCAGCACCTCTCTTCAGTCACTGCAGAACTCAGATGTTTTCTCAGGAGCAGCTCATTGCCACGGCACAGAGTTCCCACGCCAGACGAAAGCAAGTGATAATACCTGCTGTCAGCAATGCCTGAGGTAACTGCAAGGAGTAGGTTTCGTTCAGTATTTTACCACGTTAAATCCCCCTGCTGTGTGCTCCAGGCTAAGCACAGACCTGCTAAGTGCCTGTCTCATCCACACCTTGTCCAGACACCCATGTTCTTATATATTACTTCCCAGATCAAGGAAACCTTACATTTCTACATTTAATAAACTCCTCCTTGTACTGGCATAGTACAAGTAGTTTGTATTTCACCTGCAGAAAAAGACATGCTTTTGCCTGTCTTCCTCTTTCATTTGTCCCACAAAACTCCTGTAAATTATTCTTGCCCCCAAAACAGTTACTCATCTCTATCCTGCCCACCAAATAAACACAGGAGAGCTTAACAATATTTTTAAATTCATTAACAATGCCCTAAACAAATTTAATAAGTGTTACATGTGCATACTGAATAGAGAGTAGCTCAGCCACTGAATTTAGCCTTTCATTTATTTATATGCCAACAGCCTTTATATGCGATCAGCCTCTGCTGATCGAGTAATAATACGGGAAGCTACTTGACAGGTATTTCTTTATTCCCTGTTCTTTTGTTCCTACTCTAGGTTTAACAAAAAAAAAAAAATTTCCAATGGCAAAAATTGCTTGAATATTGAAGCAAGAGAAGACAGGAACAAACAAGTGTGAGGCACACATGACCAACTACAGTAGGTAACAGCGTTCAGAAAGACACTGCTGCCGTGGATTTACACGGTGATGACACTCATTCTGCTTTTCTTTCAATGTTTCTGAAACAAATCTATCCTTTTTGCCTACTCGATTTACAGAAGATTGCAAAAACACTGCCTGGCTGGCGCTTCGAATCCTCTAACATTCTTACTTAATCAGAAGCTCACACTGAAACCATTTATTTGTATCATGTGGCCCTTTGAATTACTAAAAGCACGGATTAATTACCGCCAGCAGCATACGAGTTTAGTTATATATATACATATATACATATATATATATATCAACTTCATACAAATGACTGTCATATTTTTGTTTTAAAGATGATCTAAGTTCAATTCTGAAGGAGCCTTCCCTATCCTGCTTTAAATCCCACTGCTTAGTTCAATGTTAGTGTAGATGTGGGATTTCCTCACTCACTCTGCTTTTTTCACATCTGCCCATTACAGCATCCAGTCAGTACGTAAACACCACGCACTGGAGAAGAATCCTCCTCTGGGAGCAAAATTATGCTTTATAACAAGATTTCAAAGTTTTATACCCACTGTCCCACACCAACCAAACAGCCAAAACACTGCTTGGACGAAGCAGCTTAGCTTTAAACGTAGATTCTCCCTGTTTAAACACCCAGTTTAAACTCCCTGGCTATTTCTGAATTAAGTCCAACAAGTTTTTGCGACCAATATCAATTTAAAGCAGGAGCCCCGTACGTGGCAGGTGCACAGTTTGGCACATGAGCCCTAGCTGCAAGCTGGAGAGGAGTTGCCCTGTACTGTTGTTTAAAATAGTTTTTCCTCCAGAAGCGTCTTGTTGGTTTGGGTTTTTTTCTTAATTCAGTTGCTGGCATCTCTACACCTCAGGTGAGGCCCAGAGGATTACTTTTTCTTTTCTTTATGCCTAACATCAAACATTGGAGGAAATAATGGTAACAACTACACTCCTAGCTGAGGGCACACGCACAAACACAGCTGCCATGGAGGTAAAAGGCACAACACAGCAGCTAATCCTGGGCACCTCTCTTTAGCCGGTGACACACACAAATCAGAAGAGGTGAAACTAGTTCCAACAGTCTCGCCTGTCACACACCAAGTGTGTGCACACCAAGTGTTACCAGCTGGCAGGTGACAACACGTGGTTGTTCAAGTTCAGCCCCCAAAAGCAGAGTTTCTTACCTCTCCTGCGTCCACCCTGCGTAAGCACACTGACAAAACATCAAAGTGGACAAAAACCTGAAATCCCAGTGAACACACAGGAAGTATGCATTCCTCCTACCTCTCTTTACAGCACGGAAAGTTTTATCCATAAAGCAGGAATAACTAGGAGCAAGAATACAACCTTCTACACTATGTTAGTCCCCTTACAATTTAACCGTTTTCTGGATCTTTTCCAGAGAGGATTTTTTTGTGCTTTGCATTTTGACACCAACTTACTAAAAAGAGATTTTCCGAACTGATGCGAACGCCTAAGATACTTGTCTTTCCTGAAGGCTTTTAGAATTGAGACATAAAACCCTCACCATAATAAAGAGATCAGTAGAATAACCCCCAACACAAAAATATATATCAAGATCGATATAGAAAACTTATATTAGTACAGTGACATTGGTTATGCCTATTTTTGTCAGATTTCTTTATAAACATATAATCTCTAATCCAGATAATTGTGGTGGCATAAAAAACTTGAAGAGGTATTTTGCTGGGAGGAGAATTACACACTCTTCTTTATCCTCTCGCAGTTTAGCTTGTGTTGATAAACGTATAGTTAGACTGACAATCATTTCCCAGAGTATACTATACACCAAGTCTTGCAGCAAAACATAATTCCCAGAGTCTTCTTTATGTCAGTGTCTTAGATACAACTCTGATATGTAAGAGATTATTGCTTTGAAAAAAAAAACAGACAGGAGGGTATTTCATACGAACCTAAAGCCCTCAGGCTCCACTAAACTCCAGCTGAATGTACGTGCAGCTGAAATTCACACCATTTCAG